CCTGCACCCTCTCCAATCTCCGATCCCTTGGGCCTAAACCATATGTCAGACATCCCTCTCACAATCCGGGACTGCTGGCTCCTAACCGCTTGACTGCGTGCCTGCCTGATTGCCCCCTAACCACTCCCCTACTGGCCTGATCGCTCCCCTGCTGACCTGGTCACCCCCAACTGCCCTCCCCTGCTGGCCATCTGGTGACGATGTGAGGGTGGCCATCTTGCGATGTGCATGACGTCACCTAGGCTTTTATTATATAGGATATTGCGTCCCTTGTAATGCATAGTTCAGAACATAAAGGCAGGGTCCCCACCTTTAGTATCTATAATAAAAACATAATATGCTAGTTAGACTGGATGTCGTTCCAGACGACCTTCCAGACAAACTCGGGGCTGCAAGGGAAGCCTGGGTCCCGAGTGCCTGCTGGCAGCTGGAGGGAAGCCCGGGTCCTGGGTACCAGAGGGAAGCCGGTTCCGGCAGCCGGGGAAAGGAAGGTCTACTCTTGCGTGAATTTCATGCATCGGGCCTCTAGTAAATAATATAAAAGAGAAAGGAAAAAAAAAAAAAGGAGAAAGCATGTGAGGTTCTCAGGAAGAATGGCAGAAAACAGTCTTCTGAGGGAAGGAGAACTGTTGTCAGCAATGTGGAATGTTCTAGTCCAGCAGCTGCCAATTTTCCAGCGAGGAAAATCCAGCTGGCGATATCGCTCAGGCAAGTGAGTCATCACGACAGTGGGATCTCATCTGTCTGCCCCTCATCTGACCCATACCTTTCTGGTGGGGACTGCAAGCTCTATTTTGGATACAAGTGCTGAACTCTCCCAGACCTTTGTCAGCTAAAGGTTCTAGGACAGACACAGTGTGGGGGAGATTCGTGGGGGTTTTGCTGCAGTGTTTCTACACTGTAACTACCACTTGGTCTTTGAAGGCTTCCGAGGGAACACTTCAGCATGTTGATTCATTTCCTGCCAATCCATTTTCTATATAAATAAATAAAGGGAAGCAAATTCTCTTTAAGGAGAAATTCCAGCACCACTGTCAAAAGATTGTGATTTCTCTATTGAATTTTTTAAAATATATTTTTATTGATTTCAGAGAGGAAGGAGAGGGAGAGAGACAAAAACATCAATGATGACAGAGAATCATTGATCGGCTGTCTCCCGCATGCCCCCCACTGGGGATCAGGCCCACTACCCGGGCATGTGCCCTTGACCGGAATCAAACCTGGAACCCTTCAGTCCACAGGCTGATGCCCTATCCACTGAGCCAAACCAGCTAGGGCTGAATTTTTTTGAAAAAAATTTTAATTGATTTTAGAGAGAAACATCCATTTGTTATTACACTTATGCATTTATTGGTTGATTCTTGTATGTGCTGTGACTAGGGATCGAACCCACAACCTCAGCATTTTAGGCAACTCTCTAACCAACTGATCTACCCAGCCAGGACTCCCATTGACTTTTTTTGACATCCTTGTCAAATATCAAATGACCATAGGGCTCTAATTTATTCCATTTGGCCTATGTCTATCCTTATGCCAGTACTCTATCTTGATTACTGTAACTTTGTAGTTTTGAAATTAAGAAGTGTGCATCTGCCCTGGCCAGTTTGGCTCAGTGGATGGAGCGTCGGCCTGTGGACTGGGGGGTCCCAGGTTTGATTCCGGTCAAGGGCATGTACCTTGGTTGCGGGCACGTCCCCAGTGGGGGGTGTGCAGGAGGCAGCTGATCGATGTTTCTCTCTCAGCAATGTTTCTAACTCTCTGTCCCTCTCCCTTCCTCTCTGTAAAACATCAATAAAATATAAAAAAAAAGTGTGCATCTGCCAACTTATTATTTTTCAAGATTATTTTGGCTATTCTGGTTCTCTTGCATTTCCACATGAATTTTAGGATGGTCTTGTCAATTTCTACAAAGCAGCAAGCTGTGATTCTCCTAGATCTTTAGTTTTTCCAACAATGTTTAGTAGTTTTAAGAGTATAAATCTTGCCTACCGGTGTGGCTCAGTGGTTGAGCATTAACCCATGAACCAGGAAGTCATGGTTTGATTCTTGATCAGGGCACATGCCTGTGTTGTGGGTTCAATCCCCAGGAGGGGGCATGCAGGAAACAGCAGATCAATGATTCTCTCTCATTATTGACTAGAGGCCTGGTGCACAAAAATTTGTGCACTCGGTGGGGGGGTCCCTCAGCCCTCTCCCAGTCTGGGATCCCTCAGGGGATGTCCACCTGCTGGCTTAGGCCCGCTCCTTGGGGGATTGGGCCCAAGCTGGCAGTCAGACATTCCTCTGGCAGCCCTGGAGCCCTCGGAGGATGTCCACTTGCCAGTGGGGAGCAGGCCTAGGCTGCAGTCGGACATCCTTAGCACTGCTGAGGAGGTGGGAGAGGCTCGCGCCACCACTGCTGTGCTGGCAGCCCTCAGCCTTGCTTGTGGCTGAGCAGACCTCCCCCTGTGGGAGCGCACTGACCACCAGGGGGCAGCTCATGCATTGAGCGTCTGCCCCCTGGTGGTCAGTGTGTGTCATAGTGACCAGTCATTCCCAGTTGTTCTGCTGTTAGGGTCAATTTGCATTTTACCCTTTTATTATATAGGATAGAGGCCTGGTGCACAGGTGGGGGCCGGCTGGTTTTCCCTGAAGGGTGTCCCAGATCAGGGTGGGGGTCCTGCTGGGGGGCCTGGTCTGGGTGAGGGGCTGAGGGCCGTTTTCAGGCTGGCCACACCCCCTTCAGGGTGGGGGTCCCCACTGAGGTGCCTGGCCAGTCTGGGTAAGGGTCTGATGGCCATTTTCAGGTTGGCCACACCCCCCATTGACCCAAGCTCCCCGCCTCTTTTTTTTCTGGGATTTATTTATCTTCTATAACTGAAACTTTGTAGCCTTGATTGGAGCCCAGGACCAGCCAGGGAAGGCAGGAAGCTTGGCTTCCTCCATCGCCGGGGACAACCCAAGCCTCCTGCTCGCTCCAGCTCCGTGGCCGCCGCCATCTTAGTTGGGTTAATTTGCATACTCACTCCTGATTGGCTTGTAGGCATAGTTTGAGTGTAGTGGAGGGATGGCTAATTTGCATGTTTCTCTTTTATTATATAGGATGTTTCTATCCTCTTCCTCTCCCTTCTCTCTGAAATCAATTTTTTTAAATCAGTTCTTAAAACATTAAAAAAGAGAGTATTGCCCAGCTCAGTGGTGTGAACGTTGACCTATCAACCAGGAGGTCATGGTTTGATTCCATCAGGGCACATGCCAGGGTTTTGGGCTCAGTCCCCAGTGTGGAGTATGCAGGAGGCAGTTTCTATCTCTCCCTCCCCCTCCCTCTCTGAAATCAATAAAAGCACATTAAGAAAAAGAGTATAAATCTTGTGAAATTTACTCCTGAGTATTTTATTCTTTTAGATGCTATTGTAAATGGAAGTTCTTTGTCCCTTTAACATTTTGGACATATGAATATACTGCTCACTCAAAAGTTGATTAAATAGCCCAGCCGGCGTGGCTCAGTGGTTGAGCATTGACCTATGAACCAGGTCACAGTTCGATTCCCTGGGCAGGGCACATGCCCAGGTTGCTGGCTCAATCCCCAGTTGGGGGTGTGCAGGAGGCATCTGATCCATGATTCTCTCTCATATTGATGTTTCTATCTCTCTCCCTTCCTCTCTAAAATTAATTTAAAATTTTTTAAAAGTTGATTAAATAATTGCATAGAAAATCCATTGTCTTAGGTTAGATTTCTCAGGAAACAGACTTTTACATGGGGATTTACCTTCGAGAAGTTTCCTGTGGAATGCTCTTGGCAACATGACTGAGAAAAAAAAGGAAGCAGGATTAAGTAGAGGCAGAAGTTGAACTGGGATGCAGTGTTAATCATCCACGAAAATCTGCAGCTGGAAGGGCCCTTCAGAGTTGTCCCAAATTAAGGCAAAATATCCATCAATCATTGGAGGGAGGCTGCCCCTGAAAAGGGGTCTGACTGTGGGCAATGGAGCTCCTTTGGGCCAAGTACAATTTGTGGGAAAAGACTACTGATCAATGATCATTCAACACACTCTCCCATCTCTAAACAGGACATAGAAATCAGTAAAGGGACTACTTTGTCTGTGATGAGAACCAGTTTATTTCCACCTAACATTTTCCTGGAAATCTCAATCAATGACAGGAAGGCTGAGGGGTGGAGAGTGGAGAGGAGTTTCCTGTTAAGAAGTTAGCATTCCCTCATGAATTATTTCATGCTTGGTGCAGTGCCTATGTCTATCCTTATGCCAGTACACTATCTTTTTTCCTTAAGTTTTTTGAAAAAAATATTTTTATTAATTTCAGAGAGGAAGGGAGAGGGAGATGGAAACATCAATATGAGAGAGAATCATTGGTTGGCTGCCTCCTGCACGCCCCACACTGGGATTGAGCCAGCAACCCGGCATGTGCCCTTGACCCAAATGGAACCCGGGACCCTTCAGTCCGCAGGCCGACGCTCTATCCACTGCGCCACACCGGCTGGGGCCCAGTACACTATCTTGATTACTCTAACTTTGTAGTTTCCAGTTTTACTAGGACACAATGGGCCTGATGATATGAAATAGCTGCTCCAGGTCACAGCACTAGTGAGTGAAGGAGTCTGTATGCAAATTCAAGCCTTTCCACCAAGTGACTGTCTCAGTGGCTTTAAAAAACGTGCTTGTCTCCCTTCCTTTGCCCAGTGACTTTCACGGAGCCTGGCACTGTCCCAAGCCCAGGGTAGCGGCCTAACAGCGGCTCCGTGCGAGGGAAGCCAATGCAACCCGGGCACTAGGAGCGGAGGTGGCAGGGCCCGGGCGGCACCCCGTCCGGGTGAGGGTGTCGGGAGGCCGGAAGGGAGGACGTCTTCGCTGGCACCTGAAGGGTGATGGTCAGCAGGCGAGAGGCTGCAATGGGGCTGTTTCCAGCGCAGGCCAAGCCGAGTGCCCCGAAGCACGCGGGGGGCAGGGCCAGGAAATGCGCGCCCTCCGAGGATTCGGATCTTGCGCGGAGCCCACGAGGTCATGGAAAACACGCTGAGAGCTGCGTGTCCACAGGGCGGAGGTCGAGGAAGGAAGAGGGGGCTCGGACCAGGAGCAGTGGCCGCGGCTAACGGCGCAGAGCTGTGCGTGGGCGACGGCACTGCAGGCCTGCGCCATTACGTCCCCCGGCGCGTCTGCCTCCCCGTGACCGGGAAAGACTCCCAGGGACACCCCGGCAGGTCGCTCAGACGGGGGAGGAGGCGCGGGCCCCGTCCGCTAACGTCCAGGCTATTCGGCTCCCCACACGCCTCCGGGTCAGGGCCTCCTTCCTCACCCGGCCGTCTCCTCCAGTCCTTCCCTTCCCTCCTGTCACAGGGTCCTTCACACCTGGGCAGGCCCGCCCCCTGGTGAGACCTGTGAAATGCCGGCCGGGGTCGGCGTCCGCCGGGATGCCAGTCCCGCTAACACGTACACGCCCGGGGAGTCATAAGCCCCGCGGGCAGAAGCGACGCCCACAGCCTCGCCCTTCCACAAAGTTCAGAGCCAGAGAGCCGACTCCGCGAAAGCGCGGGAAAACCGCCGCCGCCCTCCAGTCGCTTATGGTTGGCTAAATCCGCTGTGGTTTCCCGAGGCCCGCCTCCCTGGCTCGCGGGCGGTGTTCTCATTGGCTCATCTATGCCCACCGTCCACCCTCACTGGTCCATCCCTCCGCTCGTCAGGCTCTGCCGCGGACACAGGCGGAGAGCGGCGCGAGGCCCCGCCCCTACTCGCGCACTTGCACGTCCAGTGGAGGCTGGAGGCCCCGCCCCCACGTGCCGTGTGCAAAAACAAACAGCCGTTAGGGAGGAGGTGCCGGGGGGCGGGGTCTTGTTAGAAGGAGACGTGCGATTGGGAGGCCGCCGAGGTTCAAACTAGCAAGGCGAGCGGCCATTGGTCGGGGCGGCGCGAGGCGGGCCCCGGTTATTGTCCGGGCTCCGGA